TGTACACCATAGTGTGCATGTAGCAAGGTTCTTACCGAGTGATCTTCCCTATTTGTACACTAATTTTTGACACGTTGTCTGACATTTGCATTGTTGTCAAGTGTTAATTGGATGGGAAAACTGTTTGAAATTTAAACTATCCAATGGGGTAATGTCACGTGGCAAAGTGTAAACTAAAGTATACACCATAGTGTTCATGTGGCCAGGTCCTTACCGATTGAACTTTGCTATATGTATACTGATTTTTGACACGTTATTTTACACTTGCATTGTTGTCGAGTGTCAATTGGATGGGAAAATTGTTTGAAATTTAAACTGTCCAATAGGGTAACGTCACGTGGCAAAGTGTAAACTAAAGTTTACACCATAGTGTACATGTGGCAAGGTCCTTACCGATTGAACTTTGATATTCGTACACTGATCTTCGACATGTTGTTTGACACTTGCATTGTTGTCAAGCGTTAATTAAATGGGAAAACTGTTTGAAATTTAAACTGTCCAGCAGGGTAATGCCACATGGTAAAGTGTAAACTAAAGTGTACACCATATTGTACATGTCACAACGTTCTTACCGATTGAAATTTGCAATTTGTACACTAATTTTGGACATGTTGTTTGACACTTTCATTGTTGTCAAGTGTCAATTGCATAGGAAAACTGTTTGACATTTAAATTATCCAACAAGGTAATGTCACGTGGCAATGTGTAAATTAAAGTGTACACCATAGTGTACATGTCGCAAGGTCCTTACCGATTGAACTTTGATATTTGTACACTGATTTTTGACACTTGTATTGTTGTCAAGTTTCAATCGGATGAGAAAACTGTTTGAAATTTAAACTGTCCAATAGAGTAATGTCACGTGGCAAATTGTAAACCGTAGTGTAGATGTAGCAAGGTTCTTACCGATTGAACTTCGCTATTTGTACACTGTTTTTTGACACGTTGTTTAACACTTGCAATGTTGTCAAGTACCAATTGGATGGGAAAACTGTTTAAAATTTAAACTGTCCAACAGGGTAATGTCGTGTGGCAAAGTGTAAACTAAAGTGTACACCATAGTGTACGATAAAACTGTTTGAAATTTAAACTGTCCTGTAGAGTAATGTCACGTGGCAAATTGTAAACTAAAGTGTATACTGTAGTGTAGACGTAGCAAGGTTCTTACCGATTGAACTTTGCTATTTGTACACTGATTTTTGACACATTTTTTAACACTTGCATTGTTGTCAATTGCCAATTGGATGGGAAAACTATTTAAAATTTAAATTGTCCAACAGGCTAATGTCGCGTGGCAAAGTGTAAACTAAAGTGTACACCATAGTGTATATGTTGCAAGGTTCTTACCGATTGATCTTTGCTATTTGTACACTGATTTTTGACACGTTGTTTAACACTTGCATTGATGTGAAGTGTCAATTGGATAGGAAAACTATTTGAAATTTAAACTATCCAACAGGGTAATGTCACGTGGCGTAGTGTAAGCTAAAGTGTACACCATGGTGTGCATGTAGCAAGGTTCTTACCGAGTGATCTTTCCTATTTGTACACTGATTCTTGACACGTTGTCTGACACATGCATTGTTGTCAAATGTCAATTGGATGGAAAAATTGGTTGAAATTTAAACTGTCGAACAGAATAATGTCACGTGGCAAAGTGCAAACTAAAATATACACCATAGTGTTCATGTGGCCAGGTCCTTACCGATTGAACTTTGCTATATGTACACTGATTTTTTACACGTTGTTTAACACTTGCATTGTTGTCAAATCTCAACTGGATGGAAAATAGTTTGAAATTCAAACTATCCAATAGAGTAATGTCGCGTGCCAAAGTGTAAAGTAAAGTGTACAGCATAGCGTGCATGTAGCAAGGTTCTTATCGATTTAACTTTGCAATTTGTACACTAATTTTTGATATGTTGTCTGACACTTGCATTGTTGTCAAGTTTCAATTGGATGGGAAAACTGTTTGAAATTTAAACTGTCTAATAGAGTAATGTCGCGTGGCAAATTGTAAACTAAAGTGTACACCATAGTGTACATAGAGCACTGTTCTTACCAATTGAATTTTGCTATTTGTACGTTGATTTTTGGCATGTTGTTTGACATTTGCATTGTTGTCAAATGTCAATTGGATGGGAAAAGTGTTTGAAATTAAACTGTCCAACAGGGTAATGTCACGTGGCAAAGTGTAAATTAAAGTGTACACCATAGTGTATGGAAAAACTATTTGAAATTTAAATTGTTCAATAGAGTAATGTCACGTGGCTGAGTGTAAACTAATGTGTACACTATCGTGTAAATGTAGCAAGCTTCTTACTGATAGAACTTTGCAATTTGTACACTAATTTATGACACGTCGTTTGACACTTGCATTGTTATCAAGTGTTAATTGGATGGGAAAATTGTTTGAAATTTAAACTGTCCAATAGGGTAATGTCACGTGGCAAAGTGTAAACTAAAGTGTACACCACAGTGTGCATGTAGTAAGGTTCTTACCGATTAAGCTTTGTTTTTTGTATACTTATTGCTGACACGTTTTCAAACACCCGCACTATTGCCGAGAGTTAATTGGATGGGAAAACTGTTCGAAATTCAAAATGTCTAGTCAAGTAGAGTCACGTGGTAAAGTGTAAACCATAGTGTACATGTCGCAAGGTCCTTACCGATAGAACTTTGCAATTTGTACACTGATTTTTGACACGTTGTTTAACACTTGAATTGTTGTCAAGTGTCAATTATATGGGAAATCTATTTAAAATTTAAACTATCCTACAGGGTAATATCACGTGGCAAAGTGTAAACTAAAGTGTACACTATAGTATACATGTCGTAAGGTTTTTACCGATTGATCATTGCTATATGTACACTGGTTTTTGACATGTTATCTTACACTTGCATTGTTGCCACGTGTCAATTGGATGGGAAAACTATTTGAAATTTAAACCATCCAATAGGGCAATGTCACGTGGTAAAGTGTAAACTAAAGTGTAAATCGTAGTGTTCATGTGGTAAGGTCCTTATCGATAGAACTTTGCTATTTGAACTCTGATTTTTGACACATTGTTTGACACTTGCATTGTTGTCAGGTGTCAATTGGATGGAAAAACTATTTTAAATTTAAACTGTCCAATAGGGTAATGTCACGTGGCAAAGTGTAAACTAAAGTGTACACCATAGTGTTCATGTGGCAAGGTCTTTACTGATTGAACTTTCCTTTTTGTACACCAATTTTTGACACGTTGTTTGACACTTACATTGTTGTCAAGTGTCAATTGGTTGGAAAACTATTTGAAATTTAAACTATCCAATAGGGTAATGTCACGTGGTAAAGTGTAAACTAAAGTGTATACTATAGTGTACATGTAGCAATGTTTTTACTGATTGAACTTTGTTATTTGTACTCTGATTTTTGACACGTTGTTTGACACTTGCATTGTTGTCAAGTGTCAATTGGATGGAAAAATAGTTTGAAATTTAAACTGTCCAACAGTGTAATGTCACTTCGCAAAATGTAAACTAAAGTGTACAACATGGAGTACATGTAGCAAGGTCCTTACTGATTGAACTTTGCTATTTGTACACTGATTTTCTGCACGTTGCTTGATACTTGCATTGTTGTCAAGTGTCAATTGGATGGGAAAAATGTTTGAAATTTAAACAGTCCAATTGAGTAATGTCATGTGGCAAAGTGTAAAATAAAGCGTACATCATAGTGTACATGTGGCACGGTTCTTACCGATTGAACTTTGCTACTTGTACACTGATTTTTGACATGTTGTTACACACTTGCATTGTTTTCAAGTGTAAATTGGATGGGAAAACTATTTGAAATTTAAACTATCCAACAGGGTAACGACACATGGCAAAGTGTAAACTTAAGTGTACACCATAGTTTACATATAGCAAGGTCCTTACCGATTGAACTTTGCTATTTGGAAACTGATTTTTAACACGTTGTTTGACACTTGCATTTTTTTCAAGTGTCCATTGGTTGGGAAAACTGTTTGAAATTTAAACTGTCAAATAGGGTAATGCCTCATGGTAAAGTTTAAACTAAAGTGTACACCATAGTGTACATGTAGTAAGGTCCTCACCGATTGAACTTTGCTATTTGTACACTAATTATCGGCAAGTTGTTTAACGCTTACATTGTTGTCAAGTGTCAATTGGATAGGAATACTATTTTAAATTTAAACTGCGAAACAGGGTAATGCCACATGGCAAAGTGTAAACTAAAGTGTACACCATAGCATACATGTAGCAAGGTCCTCATCGATTGAACTTTGCTATTTGTACACTGATTATCGGCAAGTTGTTTGACACTTGCATTGTTGTCAAGTGTCAATTGGATTTGAATACTATTTTAAATTTAAACTGTCCAACAGGGTGATGTCACATTGCAAAGTGTAAACTAAAGTATGCACCATAGCGTACATGTAGCAATGTTCTTACCGATTGAGCTTTGCCATTTGTACACTTATTTTTGACACGTTGTCTGACACCTGCATTATTACCAAGTGTCAATTGGATGGGAAAACTATTCGAAATTCAAAATGTCCGATCAAGTAAAGTCACGTGGTAAAGTGTAAACCATAGTGTACATGTCGCAAGGTTCTTACCGTTTGAACTTTGCAATTTGTACACCAATTTTGGACACGTTGTTTGACACTTGGATTGTTGTCAAGGGTCAATTGGATGGGAAAACTGTTTGACATTTAAACTATCCAACAGGGTAATCTAACGCCCCAATTTTTTTTGTAAGACATAAACACGGGAACGTTACGAAAACTCATTTTTCTTTAATTAAAAAAAATGAGGAACTATATAAAATTCTTCAATAAACAAATAATTGTAACGTTTAAATTAAAATTATTGAAAGCGTATCTAACCATAAACTTAAACTCCTAAGTAATTCAAATAATGTGTTCTAAATTAAAATAAACAAATTGCTAAATTTAAAATGGCAAACTTATTTCTTTTTCTCTATTCTTCATTCACTTGGCAGCCCGCATCACCAATTCTCCACTGCTCGAATTGACCCGAACTAATCTGTAAAATTAATGTAAGAGTGAGTATTTTAAAAATTCCCAGTAAGATACGTGCAAATTTCCATACACAGGTATATAACAAATAAATAATACACTCCATACCGCTCTTCTCTTATGAAGTATATCGGTGACCAAGCGACACACCCATCTTAGGTCATCTTAATTTTAATGTAGAAATTTCGTATCTCTTTCTTTAGAACCCGAAGGTCCACTAGCATTCCATGTATATTTAATCGCATAGAAGAGCATAAGGAAACGTAAACACTTTGCACATAAATGTATCTTACTTCGTTGAATCTACAGTATGTTGAAAATCGTTCCTCCGCTTTGAAGGTATGTGATTAAAATACTCGATGTATGAAATTCTATTTCTAATGCTACTTTCTGTCTTCCTTTTTCTCTCCTTTCTCTCTCTTTTATCTTTCTCTTTCTCTTTCTCTATTTCACGTGTGAATTTTTTGGTGTGGTAAAATGTGTGATTCTAGCCTACTATTTATAGGTGTAGACTAGAGTAGAAGATATGTCTTATCCTAACCAAAAGATTTTTTTTTTTTACTTGATTTGTACTAGGCCTTTTTTGTTGTTATCAAAAAGTTTGAGATTATCTATAATACTATATTTACAAATAGAAAATTTATTTGCCATCACTTATCTATTATAATATAGTTTATCTTCCAAAATAAATGCTCTGAAATAATTAAAATTCTATCTTATTTTAATGAATATTATGTTTAAACAAAAGGTAGTCTAATTAGTCAGCACTGCCTAAAATATTTAATTAAAGGGAATTATATTAATTCTTAATTCTATTTAAGTTTGTTTCATTATTCCATGACGGTTTTTCCCGTAAAATGCCTCAATCCAGTATAATCTACAGTTATTTTTCCCTTATCTAAACATCACGTGAAGTCTATCAACTCATAAAGTCAAGTAATTAAATAATACTAAAATAATCAATCCCTAAAATCAAGGAAACCTACCCTTCTTTTTCTCCAAAATCAAAGCAAATAATTATTAAAATAAACCTACTTCTTTTTATTCATAACCATTTCTATACGTACACACCATACAAAATCAAGACAATTCCATGTACACATGTCAACATCACATCTTCCTTCCAAGTTTTAATTGAATTTGAAAACCAATTTCTTCAAATCGAAATTTCTTGGTGCTGGGTTATCCAAATTGACTATTTCTCGAGCCTAAAATTCATAATTAAATACTGACTATCCAGCGAGTATAATATTAATATACTTATTTTTACTCTATCGAAATTTAATTTTGACTCAAAGTATAAGAATTTAAAATATATTACCTCTTAGTCCCTCAACTTTTGAAATAATATAATATAGATATTAAATAAATTTTTATCAAAAATTTTGGGATGTTACAATCTCACCCCCTTAAAATAATTTCGTCCTCGAAATTACCTTCGTTCGGGTCTTCTGTTGTCCGTTCCTGGGCTAAAGCAAAAACTCGGGCCTTTCCCTTCTTTTCTTGTTCATCATTCTTCTTCAAGGGGTCTTCTTTGCAATTTTTGGAAATATGCCTTGTTTTACCGCATCGATAGCACACATGCTTCCCAAACAAGCATTCACCACTATGCATTTTATTGCACTTTGGACATGGTGAAATGGCTTGTCCAAAACTTGATCCAAAATTAACCTTTTTGTTCTGTCCCTCTCCCTTCCCTTCATTGGACCCATTCCACTTCCTCTTTCCTGATAACTCGGCCCCTTGCTGGGGAATTTGATCTATTTCCAACCTATTTGAGATTGCTTGGGCAGTTTGCAAAACGTGCCTATAGGTGGTGAATTGGTGGGATGCCATTATTCCACCAATCTCAGGACGCAATCCAAGTTCGAACCTCCTTGCTTTCTTTGCTTCAGTATCCACTAGGTGTGGTGCATATCTTGAGAGTTGTTCGAATTTTCTTTCATATTCTTCAAGTTTCGTCTTTCCTTGTCTGAGTTGAACGAATTCTGTCTCCTTACGATCCCTCAGGACTTGTGGGAAGTATTTTCCCATCATTTCCTCCTTAAATTGCGTCCAAGTCAGAGCACGTTGTTGTGCTTCTGTTCTAGTGCGAGATGCTGACTCCCACCAATGGCCTGCCGCGTCAACCAACATAAATTCTGCACATAACACCTTTTGAGCATCAGTGCAAGATAGATGTTTGAAGATTCGCTCCATTCCTCTTATCCATTCTTCAGCTGCTAGTGGGTCTGCCTTACCATCGAAGGTTGGGGGTTTGTAGCGACGGAACTGTTCCACGATTGAGCTGGTGTTGTTAGCGTTTGTACCACGGGGACCACCCTGTGCTTGTTGCCTACCCAAATCCTGTACCACCCTTAGCAAATCTCTGATGATCGTACCTTGATTTTGTTGTTGTCTCGACATTTTCTTAACACAAATAAAATTTTAATTTAGGGAAAAAAATTGGTAAAACACTTCTAATATTTTTGTAACAACGAAGAATTTAATAAAATTTCCAAATCCTTAAAAAAAAATTTGCTCTTCAAAAAATTAAATAAATAAATAAATAATCCAACTTTTCCTAAGCAAATAAATAAAACTTATCCCTAATCTAGAATCTTCTTTTTATGCCGTCTCATCATCCAAAGTAATGCATGACTCGGGCTCGGAATCCATAACCAAATCAATGAAATTTTGTGGTTGGACTTCTTGCTCAGGGTCTTCTGGCTCTAGTTCGATCTCCTCCTCTGGGTCCTCCTCTGGGTCTTCCTCCGGCTCTGGCTCTGGCGCTGGTGCTTGTTGTCTATGGTTCCATAAAATTATGATATCTTCACAGTATCCTTTAAAATCAATCTTATCCCAATCTTCTTCCAAATATAAATCATAATCCATGTCCCTCACGAAATAAGCCACGTCTCTCCATTGAGGTTGCATAGTGCTTATACGGTGATATATCGAAAGGATTGTCCCCTCATTATATCCAAATGACATTGCTCGCTCCCACTTAGTAAGGAAATCTTCAACATGTTCAACAAAAGTTCTCTCCCATCTCACTTCATAATTTATGTAGTTCTCAATGACCATTTCAGCACGCTGGAGGTACGTTGGGCTATTCCTAGTCATCCTAATCACATGACATCATAATTTTAATTATGCTTAACTTTTCATTATCAATATTATTATTATTATTATTATTATTATTATTATTTTTTATTCTCAGTGCATAAACTATACTCTAGCAAGATGACAAATAAATTATGCGATGTGAACATGTTTATACATTTTATAACATGCAGCAATGTTTAAAAACATGTCATTACATTTCATACCTGGGTTCAATTGGAGAGTAGTCGAATGGTGAGCGTCATGTGCCAAGTATTCTTTATATCATTACGTATTTAAAAGTTTGCAATCACAACATAAAAAAAATACATTGATTTTATTTGTTTAAGAATTTTCTAAAATTGGAACGTCATAAATGTTTCCAATGATAACTATGTAAGTTCATTATTTTACACAAACCTTTAACATTAAATAAATGTAGGAAATAAAAACAAAAACTATTTTGCATGAAAAGCATTGAACACTTCACGCTAACAACATACCATTTTCTTTATTATCACTGTTCACGGATGAACAGTTACTAAAATAAATTTTTTTTTGTTGCTGTATTGTTCACGTGAACAGTACTGTTCACGTGAATAGTAATTTTTTTTTTTTTTCATTTTACAAAATCTTAAATATAATTTTCTTAGAATTATTGTTTTCCGTCTTAATGATTTGAATAACACGTAACTGAAAAGACTTCCAGGCAAGGAGGGGGGTCACAAACGAACCGCTTAAATCCCAAGCTCGCCTTAGACAGTTTAGGTCTTTTTGACAAAGTTTTTCAGTCTTGTGGATACGCAAATCAAAGAAACTCGAAACAATAAGTGAGAAAAGAGATTTATTAAAATATGATTTTTTTTTTTATACATAATATAATGTGGACACCCCTTTTTATGTTAACACGCACACCAAGACACATACAAATACATGCACACACTATAATATATACATACACCCCAACATGCAATAGAACCTGCGAAAAGGTTACATTAAAATATCAAATCACCTTTAAAACATTTGAGTTTCAAATTCCAAGGTTGTAATATATATTAAAATATTATTTCACCCTTACATGATATGCAATAAAGGACATATGAATGAATACATTATGCAAAGTGATGTACTTGGTCAGATGGAACAAATGGTCAATTCACTGTAAAATTTAAAGTGGCTTTATAGCAGAAGCAAAATTCCAAAATTTTCTGTATTGTTTACGTGAACAGTTCTTGTTACTGTTCACGTGACTTTTTTTTTTTTTTTTTGGAAAAGTCTACAGGAAAGTAAAACCGTGCTCTGATACCATACTGTAACGCCCCATTTTTTTTATTAAGTATAAACACGGGAACGTTACGAAAACTCATTTTTCTTTAATTTAAAAATGCGGAACTATATAAAATTCTTCAATAAACAAATAATTGTAATGTTTAAATTAAAATTATTGAAAGCGTATCTAACCATAGACATAAACTCCTAAGTAATTCAAATAATGTGTTCTAAATTAAAATAAACAAATTGCTAAATTTAAAATGGCAAACTTATTTCTTTTTCTCTATTCTTCATTCACTTGGCAGCCCGCATCACCAATTCTCCACTGCTCGAATTGACCCGAACTAATCTGTAAAATTAATGTAAGAGTGAGTATTTTAAAAATTCCCAGTAAGATACGTGCAAATTTCCATACACAGGTATATAACAAATAAATAATACACTTCATACCGCTCTTCTCTTATGAAGTATATCCGTGACCAAG